ATGAGAGAGAAAGGGAAGCAGAAGGTGTAAGAGTCGACGATGAAGATTGGGAGATTGCAGAAAAGGGTGAGCACACTCATCACGTCATTCATCTTCACTAACCAAATTTGCTCCTCGCGTAACATTTTTGGGATAATTTTGGATAGATTTCACAAAGCAGTATAATAGGCTTCGTATCTACAACGAACTAGCATCAGGTCAACCACAAAAAGCTACTAGTAACAACGCCAAAGGCACACTCCTCCCCGCCATCAACCGACCCAAACAACCCAAGCGATCCACACAACAACAACAAGAAGCGACAGAAAAGAGAAAAGAGTTGGATAAGAGGGTATCAGACCAGCTGACCGCTCTATCCAAATACTCGTCTCGTATCGCCAACATTGACGTTCCCTACTCTCGTCCCGACGACCCCACAACTACAACCAACACAACTACGAATGCGGGTGGAGAAGGATTCGTCCTTGGGGTCAGCGTGAATCGTAAAGGCCCGAGTGCGGTGGCGAACCAAAAAGACAAGGCGGACCGAGCGACGACCGAGCAAGTCCTGGATCCACGTACGCGGATTATCCTGTTCAAGATGATTGGGAGGGAGCTGGTCAAAGAGATCAACGGGTGCGTCAGCACCGGTAAGGAGGCAAGTCCCCCCTTTTGTTAGTACGACTACTCTCTGACACTCACCTAGGCCAATGTGTACCATGCACTTACCCCCACGAATACCCACCTCGCCCTTAAAATCTACAAAACGTCTATACTAGTGTTTAAAGACCGCGACCGGTACGTGACTGGCGAGTTCCGGTTTAGGAGGGGCTACAGCCGACACAACCCGCGCAAGATGGTACGGTTGTGGGCGGAAAAAGAGATGAGGAATTTAAAGAGGCTAAAGGGTGCGGGGGTGAGGTGTCCAGAGGCGGTGGAGGTGAGGGAGAACGTGTTGGTCATGGATTTCCTAGGTGACTCGGAGGGATGGTGAGCCACCCACTTCTCGTTGCTTACTTTCGTTGATGGTGTTGGTGGCAGGCCGTCACCGAGATTAAAAGATGCAGATGTGCCGGTGGAGAGGTTCCCCGCTCTGTACCACGACTTGATGGTGACGACGCGGACGATATACCAACAGTGTAAACTGGTACATGCCGACTTGAGCGAGTACAATATCCTCTTTCACAATGACGCTCTATGGATCATTGATGTCTCTCAGTCGGTAGAGCACGACCACCCGTCCGCATTCGAGTTTTTGAGGATGGATTTGAAGAATGTGGGGTTGTTTTTTGGAGGGAGGGGGGTGAGGTGTTTATCGCTCCGCCGTGCCTTTGAATTCGTCACGAGAGAAGTGTTGGGTGGGGAGCCAAGCGAGGTGTTGACCAAGTGGATTGATGAGGAGGAGGTGGGAGAGGACGAAGGGGGCGACGAGGAAGAGAGGACCCGACTGGAAGAGGAAGCCGCGGCCACCCAAGCGACTGAAGAGTCTGTCTTTCTATCGAGTTTCATCCCTCGCAGCCTTGGCGAAGTGCTGGATCCCGAAAAGAACTATGCGAGCGGGCAAGCGGGGACGGCTGATAAATTGGTCGCCAAATCCAAACGTGTAGACAAAGCGCCGACGAGTCCGTCCAAGAATGTTCGATTTACGGGTGTACCGAGACAAGAGGACGAGTCAGAGAGTGAAGAGGAGGATGAGGAGGATGAGAAGGACGAGTTTGTGGACAAGAAGCCGAGGGGGCACCGGCATGAAGACAAGGACGCCAAAAAGGTACGCGCGCACGGCTATCTACCCACCCTCCCCAGCACTGACTCGCCTCAAGGAAAGGAAAAAGGCAGTCAAAGAAGAACAACGCGAGAAACGCAAGACGAAAATGCCCAAAGCCGACAAGAAAAAGGCGATCAAGAAGAGCAGAGGGGGGTAGTGGTTTGGTGTAGCTGCGTGGCTGCGGAGTCTGTCGACAACAAAGGTCGGCGTGTTGTGATATAAATAGTACCTGAAATGCCAAGTGCATGGAATGTCTCGGCGAAACGTGACTAACCCCCGAGTCGGATGAGTGCCGTGTGCTGAGTAAGCGGTTGGCCGATCAGCATGCTACCCTCTGCGCAACTGCGCGCAACAATCGAGCGTCATGGCAGATGATGGCGAGTTGATCTGGAAATATTTCTGGGTATAATCAGTAACTGCGCCGGGATTTGGTACGCGTCCCATTCGAGAGGTGGTCCGGTCCAGGGCCATGGGGCCCACTATATAACCACCCCGTATTTCGACCACCTCCCCCTTAGCTCTCCCCTCTGCTCTCTACACCACATTACACTCTGTGACAATGTCCACAGACGTCACTCGATCGAGACCTACGTCGCCCACACCCGTCACCGATCCAACGGGCACAGGGGGCGAGAATACGGTGACTGCAACTCCTAATGCTACCACTCACGACATAGCTGAGAAAAAGGACGAAAAGGCCAGCGCCAAGGAGGAGAACGTCAAGACTGAAGCGCCCACGGACGAGGAAGAAAAGGACGTGGAAAAAGGGAAAGCGCTCGTCTCCCCGATTAACGAATCCGATCTCCTTTCTGGAAAACGACTGGCGGTAGTGTGGTCGGCGTTTTTGCTGTACGTGGATTTTGAGCGCTCGACCGACGTGACTCGAAAAACTAACTGACGAACGTAGATCTGTACTATTGGTCGCACTCGATAACACTATAGTCTGTACGTACACTACTCTCCCTCGTTGGGAGCAGGGACTGACGTTTTGCCACATGTAGCTACCGCCCTCCCCAAGCTCGCATCCTACTTTAACGCTCTCGAC